AACTACATGGGAGTCCAGCGACATAGCCATAATGCCAACTGCTGGTTTCCCAAAAAACATTTCAAAAAGAGGGAATAATTGGGAAAATAACAAAAATCTATTACTTATATAACTACATAGATAAATAGTTTCTGATATATCACTTTTAGAACTCCAGTTTTATGAGAAAAAAATGTCCAGTATTGGTGTTCTGTAAAAATCAGGCATAACACTAATGGACAAATGTTACTTTCGCTTACTGTTTACAAACAACAGCAGGCCTCTTAAGTAAATATAATCTCTTGCCTTGGACTAAAAAATTACCCAGGACAATGAGAATGTTGCTGTTTTCTTATTCCCCTAATAGATTGATTGTCACTACCCTTCTGATCATGTTAGACAATGTGCCTGTATTACTGCATTTGTTTTTCCCAAAGTAGTCTCACCTAAGCCCATTCCAAGTACTCTAGTGGTATTCATTGTTAATCAAGCATTGAGAACCCAATTAAATATTGACAAACAAATCACTGTCCGTTTGCAAGTGCTGGAAATTACTGTAGGAAGCTTAAGAGAACGGCTGTTTAAATGCAACTATAAAGTCATTTGAAATGTCATGCATTATTTCACCATATCAGTGTAACGCCTTTACCTCATGACACACCTGGAGCTTGATTTCTAAACAAAACCATCTCCATGTGATATGGTCTTCTAATAATATTTCTGTAGATATGAAAGATCTTCATAAACAGATCATAGATTTGCAAAATAGTTTTTTTTTTGCCTTCATTTGATCCTTCTAATTTAACTTTTTAAATTAACTGAAAGGCACTCCCATTGGAAATGTGCTTCAAAAATCTTGTTTTATCACAAACATTTTCTCATAAACTGACTTAGGAGATTGTTTTAAAATTTTTTTGTAGGTGTACTTGTGTCTGTGCATGCATATGATATGTCATATTACACACCGTATGTTGTATGTCTATGTGATGGAAGGCCTTAAGGAATTTCATTCAATTTGGTTTCTAAAAAAAAAAGCATTCATACAAATTAGATACTCCTCTAGTTCATGTGACTTAAAATTATTGACAGATAAGCCAGTTTCAATAACAAGTGAAGATCTTCATGATTTCCAACAAATATTTTGTCCAAAGTATTTTGATCAGGCAACATCATATTTAATTTATTATAATCTGTTCAATAAAACAGCTAATATTTATATGTTATAAGTTACATGGTTGATATCTGACCAACAGGGGAAATGGATTAGTGACCAGACTTCTTTAATATTTTGTTCCTCACAGGTAATCAAAACATAATAGCCAAAGAAAAGTTTAAGTGCTGTTTAATAAGACTGGTTTTCCTAAAGTTCAATTTTTAATTCTCCTGTGGTTCAGTTACAGGACTACTGGTTAGAAACCGTAAAAAGTACATCTCTTATAATAGTTATAGTTACATGTTATCCATATATAGGTCTTTGGGTCGTTTTTGTTCATCTCTGAAAGTCGTATCTGACTACTGTAGTCTGCACTGTATTTTGTTTTAATGCCAACAAACACTGAGTTAACCCTTTTTCATCCCTAAGATGCTTAAAACATTTAACTTTCATTTTCTACAGACAGTTTAATTAAATATTTAAGCTTTTGCTATCTTTCCCCAAAATCAAATTTTAAATTAAGTTCTTTTGACTTGAGAATAAATTTTGAATGTTCACGGAGGGCCCTGAAATAGCCAAAAGACATGCATTAAACCAATCAGGCTTCTTTTAATGTAGTAAGTGATATGGAAAGCATTGTCAAATTGAGTAATTTTAGTTTTATTTACATTGTTATATGTATAAATAAATTATATGTATATTTGTAAATATATATTATATATGTATCATGTATTTCTATATGTATTTATATTCCAAAATAATTTAAAATTCCTAAAAGTTAATGATATGGTATTAGTCAGGCAGTTACAGGTAATAGTAAACTAGTATATGCCATGAATAGTGACAAATTTCTTTATCAGCTATAAATTATTGTCAGATCTTTAACTAGAGTTAATTCAAATCTTATTAACCATGAGTAATTACTTTGTTTAACATTTTTCTAAAAACTTTTTCCAAATGGCTATAATCCTAATATGTTGATCTTTAAGGAAATTCACAAAGAGGATGGAAAAAAAGATGTACTCTTAAAAGTACAGGTTTCTAATAATCTAATCATTTAACTAGGTAAGCATATCCATTTTTTTCTATAAAAAAACTAATCAATTTCCTTTTTTTAAGATTTATTTATTTTATTTTATTTTATGGTTCATTTTTATTTTAATTTGACCAGACACACACACATATACCAGAGAGGAAGAGAGAGAAGGAGTGTGAGAAAGCAAGCCACCAGGTCCGGGACTCAAACCATAGTCAGCCATGTGGGAGTATCCAGCGCCTTAACCACCAAGCCACCTGCTGATCCCCACTAATCAATTTTCTAATCTGCTTAGCCAACCATTAAACAAAATCAAGATTTGCCATAAATAAAAAAATGGTTGGGGACCAGCAGATGGTGTAATGGCTACATCGCTGGACTCCCATGTAGTTGACTGCAGACCCTGTGGCTTAAACTCATGCCAGATACCAAGAGGAGAATGGAGGAGAAGGGATTGTGGTATGGCCATCACCGCTGGCGGGTGTGTTCTCATTTTCTGTCTCTCTGTATCTCTCTGTCTAGTGAAAGCACGCACCGTATAGCAAAAACCTCTCCAAAAAAAAAAAGGTTGAAAAAATTACATGCTACGTAGCCAATATCACAATTGTTAAACTATATAATACTTCCTGGTCCACTAAATAAGATCATAAGTAAATTATTAAAATCTGTAATTCGACTAAATTCCATGAGATTAATTAAAGTCAAATTACCTACCGACTATCTATTTTAGAAAACAATGTTACACACCTAAATTAAAAATTAATATAAAAGCTTATAAATCCAATTTTAAACATAAACTTCATAGGACCAGCAGGTGGCGTGGTGGTTAAGGCGCTGGACACTCCCACATGGCCGACCAGGGTTCAAGTCCTGAATCTGGTGACTTGCTTTCTCACTTCCTCTCTCTCTCACTCTCACCCTCTGTCTCTCTCTGGTCAAACTAAAAAATAAATGAATGAATAAATAAAATAAAATAAATAATTATTTTTAAAAAAACCATAAACTTCATAGAAAACATATGGCAATCTAGTTCTTCCTGAATCCTTATAACTCTCATTATTAAGATAACATATTTTAATATTCTCTATTTTTTGTCTTTTTAATTTTATAAAAATTAAAATGTTGGGGGCTAATCTAATAATACAGTCTGTGCTCAAATTTGTTAAACAGATTTTTGTTACTATAGGTTATATATGTTCATTAGCTACTACATACACTAAAATTAAATTTACTATATATGGATCAAAAATTTTAGCCAATATGGATTTATGTAATTATAAAAAAACCTTTGTAGGACCAACAGTTGGTGTAATGGCTATGTCATTGGACTACCATGTAGTTGACCTCAGTTCAAGTCCCTAACCCGGTGGCTTAAACTGGTGGCCAGGCGTTTGTGCATGTGTGCCCAAAATCCCGAGAGGAGAAGAAAGAGAAGGGAGTGTAGCATGACCATACCCCCTGGGGGATGATTTCTCACTTTCTGTCTCTCTGTCTTTCTGGCGAGCAAATGTGCCCTATAGTAAAAACCTCTCCCCCCCCCCAAAAAAAAACCTTTGCAAAGGCACTGATCCTTTTGACTTGCTTCACCATCCCTTATGGTATTTCTTGAGAATAGTTGTGTCAATAATCTTGCTTATGTTTATTTTTATACTAGTCTGCAGAATCACCCAGCAAGAGCTCCATGCAACAACCATCTAACTCCTCAAACTCAAATTGGAAAAAGAAAAAGAGGAATATGTGGAGTGCTGCAGTCTGAGAAAACACGATGTGACCTTTGGACACATGCAGAAATGTTCTTTCCTGAGCTACGCAAGCAATGGCTATTGAGAGCATTTATGTGCGAAAGCGCTATCTGCCTGTTGTTATCCGTTATCTTCCTGTTGTTGTTGATACCCCATGCTGCAGGGCAGTAGGAGGCCAACGGAAGTCACATGGGTTTATCAGATTTTTGCCCCAAAAGGATCAGAAAAATTACATGGTACCAGTCATTTTCACATCTTCAGACAATTTACATCCAAAAACAACTGGCTTTGCCTTCCATTTCCCTTTCCCCCATTCTCTTTGCATTCCATTTCCTCTTACCCCATTTTCTGGCCTTTAAAAGAATAAACCTGAGGCGGTTCGAGGTTGCAACTTCTCCATCAAAGAAGCTGAGTCCACCCAATCCTCACTTGTCTATACTCATGTGTCTTTGTGTGTTTGTTATTGAATTTATTTGTGATCCACAGCCTTCCCCACTCAGAAAAACGTGTTCAACTGAGCAGGTCCCAGCACCTACTGTATGATCCAGACATTACACTCTTAGGTATGTATCCAAGGGAGGAGAAACCCTGTGTGTAGACAAAGACCACACACAGATGTTCATAGTAGCTTTATTTGTAACATCCCCAAACCGGAACAACCCCAAACATCATCAACATGTAAAGAGAGAGACACATTGGGACATATCCCCATGAGGGGATACTCGATGTTAAAAAGAATGAGCAGTTGACATAGTAATAAGACAGAGATGTACAAATTGCAAGATAATTATACAAAGTGAACAAAGCGGGACAGAAACAAAAGGCATGCCATATGATCCTATTCATATAAAACTGTACAAAATGCAAATTGAAAGCAGACTATGGTCATCTAAGACAGGGGTCTCCAACCTCCAGGCCATGGACCAGACAGAGAGATGGAAAGCGAGAAATCATTCTATGGGGAGGGATGGCCACGCCGCGATCTCTTCTCCTCCCTTCTCCTCTTGGGGTCTTGGGCATGCACGCACAAGCACCTGCTGTGAATTTTTAAGTGCTGGGCCTGGTTCTCAAACCACAGTCAACTATGTGGGAGTCCAGCGACATACCCATTTTGGCAGTACTGGTCTGTGGCCTATTAGGAGGCAGGCGCCCAGCAGGAGGTGAGCTCTGGGCAGTGAGCAAAGCTTCCTCTGTATTTACGGTCACTCCCTGTCACTCACATGATGGCCTGAGCTCTGATCAATGGGGCACCAGCTTCTCACAGGAGAACCGTACTGTGATTGCACATATAAGGGGCCCCAGGTTGCATGATCTCTAAACCATCCTCCCATGCCATCCTCAGTCTGTGGAAAAATTGTCTTTCACAAAAACGGTCCCCGGTGCCAAAAAGATCGAGGGTCCCCTGTCTAAGAAGAGGGCTTCGGGGAGGGGCATGATGCACGTTTTGCAGGGGGAGTACATTCACTGCCTTGATTGTGGAAATGTGTTGGTTCGTGTCACATGTTCAGTGTGTTCTGGGTCAATCATATTTCAAGAAAGCCGTTAGCAAAAGAACCATCTCTTGTCTGCCTAGAGGTGCTACAGCTTTCTATCTACATTGGGGCGAGATTATGTACAGCAAAATGGAAAGGCTTCTTTTAAATCAGAGTAGCCTGTGAAGCGGGTTGGAAGGAAGTAAAAGTGCTGAAAACGGAAGGAGCATTTCTAATTCCATCCATTTCTATTCGGCAACATTTGCAAACCTGGCTCAATTTGTTACGGAATTGAATATGTCTGTTTCTTTGGTCTTGTCTGTTTCTGAAGGATAGCATAACTTGACAGAGTGGAAGGAGAGGTTATCTACAAAAAAACATGTATTTCAGGGAAAATATTATACTATATTTTCCTTTGGCCCATACATCTCTCATGAACACTGCTTTTGAAGGGTTAAAGCTACTGTTTTAAACGTTGGTGGAGAAAAGATGAAGAAATAATAACCGACTCAGGAACTGCTCGTGAATTGTGAATTACTTCACAGAAAAGATCATCCAGTTACTAACTGCTTCCTGAAACCTCCAAATTGCCATCAAATGCACGTGGATGCAGTGTGCATGTGCACGTGTGTGTGTGTGTGTAAAAGGCAGAGGCTAGAGGTGGACCACAGTTAAGACCAGTGAGCTCTGGATTTTAAAGTGGAGAGCGTGAGCTTCTCCACGCCAGGGTGGCCTTTCCCTGCTCTGTTTTGGCCTTTCCCTGCTCTGTTTCGTCATGTGCACTCAGGCGCGTTTCCCCTTTCTTGCCCTCTGCCAGCAGTTGGGCAAGTTCTCTGGGTTCTGCCTTCTCTGCAGGTTTAGGGGGGAAGAAGAAGGTGAAAGCGTGGAGATAGAGAAGATTGAGAGCAAAGTGTTCCCAATCTTGGAGAACAGTCAACTTTCGGGGGGTGAAGGAGGGGAGGAGAGGAATTGAAGTCTTGCAGGAAGGCCTGGGATGAACAGGAGAAAACATATAGGTAGATAGAATCAAAATTTTGGATGTAAAAGTGTCAGGTAGCTGGAGCCCCAGTCTTTGCAAAGGAGTTCCAAAGCTAATTAATCACAGGCAGTTCTTGGGACTCTCCTCCAAGTGACAAAAAAAAAAAAAAATCACTTAACTCCAGAATAAAAGACTTTTTTCATCCAGAGCCTTCAAATTCACTGCACTCTCAGTAGATTTGCCTTCTTCTGACAAATACTGAATGCAGCTAAAATGCAGTTTTCAGCAAAAACAGCTCTCCGTTGTATATATGCGCAGGTGCCTGAAGGGAACATCTGGGAAACCGAACCTCGGAGGCTAAACCTGCAGGCAGGGAGGAAACATTTTAAAAGTGAGATTTATTGCCTCCTCGTGTCTGGAACTTAGTCTTCTATTAAAGCTTCAGGTCAACAATAAATGTGAAAAGAAAAATGAAAGAGAGGGTGGTGATGGACAAATGGGCAATTCTTTCCTGTGAGAGTTAAGGAAAGAGACTTTTGGAAATTCCTGTCTTCTCTCTGATGAGAAGAGGACAGTGGTGGAATGCAGCAGTAACTTTGACAGCAGTTCAGGAGTGAATAGGAAACTTACAGGTGGAGCGTAAAAAGAACAGGAAACTTACAAATGGGACATCCAAGGAGAACCATCTTCCCAAAGCCATGAGGAGCTGGGTTTCCTCAGAGACAACCCCATCCAGAACGGGAAATTGGAATGGGAAGTTGCTTGCTGGATGAAGTCCTGTGGGGAGTAATGTTTCTGAGTCAATGTAGAATTGCCGTGGTGTGTTAGAATCTTCGTTAGTTAACACTAGATTCATGAAACTAGAACCAAAGGAGTTGAGGATTTTACAGAAATACTTCCTGGAGTTTAGAAATACCACATAGCCTGTCAATTCAAGATTATGCATGTAACTGATGGCCAGGCTTGCCTAAAAATTCAGGAGTTTTGACTCTCGAACAAATACTCTTCCACTGAGCACCTAAGCCAGAGTTATTTCCCTGTGGACCACTACTCAAGCCCAACAATCATCCATAAAAACTCACCAGATCACTTGTATTATTAATTTTCAGCAAATGAGCATCCAAAGATAAGCAGTTTTCTTGGCTCTTCTCCCAGCTAAATGGACCAGAGGAAAATAAGTAACAGTTTTCTTCATGCCAGAGCCAATCTTGGGGACAAGGACCTAGGAGGTGTACCACAGTATGTCTAGTTAGTGAGTTATGTCTGAGTAACAGTGTTCCTGTCATTCTTAAATCAGGTCTTCTCTCAGTCTTCTCTTATGCATATCATTTTTTCTTAGTTAGAATTATATCTAGACTCTGCAAATATGTAAATAATCTCAAAGTCTTTATTTCTCCATTTTTGAAGAAAACTAAAGCATTCTGATTTTAGTAAACTAAATTTACTTCTCGTTTAGTATTTTCACTTCCCCTGTTAAAAAGGCAAGACAAGCTGAGATGTAATTTTAGAATCTGATCTATGTTTTGAATGTTTTGTATGTGTCAATAGAAGTTTTTAAAATTATTATTATGTTTTTTGACCCAAGGTGTGTGCTCTTGCTGGAAAGAGACAAAAGGAGACAGAGGGCGAGAATGTGAGAAATCTCCCCTCCTCCAGAAGGGATGGCCATGCTGCAATACTCTCAGGATTCTGAACCTGTACACACGCACACCTGGTGTGATTCTCAAGTTATACTGGAATAATGAAGTAGGAGTTGGAGAAATGGATATTTAACTGACATTCTGCTATTACACATTTATGCTACTGTGTTTTAAAACTTCGTGTCTTCAAATAATGGACCTGGCTTGAATATTGTGCCTCCAGCTTGTACCCATGCTGTTCAATATATCAACCACAGGAGATTCTTGGGGCCAGCAGGTAGTATGGTGGTTAAGGTGCTGGACTCCCACATGGCTGACCACAGTTTGAATCCCAGACCTGGCAGCTTGCTTTCTCACTTTCTCCTCCTCTCACTCTCTCTCTTTTTTGGTCAAATTAAAAAATAAATAATAATAACAAATAAAATTAAATAAAGAAATAGCTTAATATATATATATAGCAGCCAGGACCAGCAGTTGGCATAATGGCTATATTGCTAGACTCCCATGTGGTCGACCACAGTTTGAGTCCCAGATCCAGCGGCTTAAACTCACCCTTGAGGGGTGATTTCTCGTTTTCTGTCTCTCTGTCCCTCTCTGTCTTTCTGACGAGCACACGTACCCTATAGCAAAAACCTCTCAAAGAAAAAAAATATATATAGCAGCCACAGACAATTCTTGAGTACTTAAAATGTGGCTGGTCTGCACTGAGGTGTCAAGGTGTGTTGTAAGTATAAAATATATACCTATTTGATTTTTTTTTTTTGGAGAGGTTTTCGCTATAGGGCGCATGCGCTCACCAGACAGACAGGGAGAGACATAGAGACAGAAAGCGAGAAATCACCCCCCGGGGGGATGGTCACGCTGCAATCCCTTCTCCTCCATTCTCCTCTCGGGATCTTGGGCATGCACGCACATGCACCTGGCATGAGTTCTAAGCCACCGGGTCCGGGACGCGAACCACGGTTGACTACGTGAGAGTCCAGCGACATAGCCATTACGCTAACTGCTGGTTCCCATACCTATTTGATTTTGAAAATTAAGTATGAAAAGTGTAAAATATCCCATTAATAATTTTATACTTATTAGTGTTGAAATAATAATTTGAATATTTTGAGATAAGTAAAATATGACACTAAAATTAATTTCATCTAATTCTTTTTAATTTTTTAAATGTGTTTCAAGAAAGCGGTTACATATGTGCCAGACACTATATTTCTTTTGGACAGAGTTGTTCTAGGAGAATAGTGTATTGATAGAAGGCGAGGATCTTAATTTCAATTTGAGTTCAGAAAATAGAGAGGTTTACAGTAGCAAAACTCCCAAGGATTCCAACAAACCCAGTTGGGTCTGTTGGCAAAATATGTCAACATCTATCTGTTTGTGGATATTTTCAGAAACATGATTGTCGTCACTGTTACCACCTTTGTCATCATTGCCATGGCTTCCATGTGTTCATAAGACTTAGAATCTCTTCAAGGAGGGACCAGCAGATGGCTCAATGTTTATATTGCTGGACTCTCCTGTAGCAGTAGACTGCAATTCAAGTCTTGGACCCAGTGACTTAAAACTCAAGACAGGCATGTGTGCGTGCATTCCCAAAATCCTCAGAGGAGAATTGAGGAAAAGGGATTGCAGCATGGTCACCCCCACCGGGGGGTGACTTCTCACTTTCTGTCTCTCTTTCTCTGTCTTTCTAGTGAGCATATGTGCCCTATAGCCAAAAAAAAAAAATCTGTATCTAAAAAAAAAAAAGAATCTCTTTAAGGGAAAGCAAAGCTATTAAGCTATTTGGTCTACTCTGTGACCAAAAGGTGAAAATGTTAAATCTTTGAGAAAGGCAACATTTTCATTTTCATTAGGGCATTAGAAAATAGGGCACAAAACCATCAGATAGTTGTTTTGTTTTGTTTCGTTTTTTAAGAGATTTTTGCTATAAGGCAAAAGCTCGCGGCCAGCATGAGTCGCTGGATCCAAGACTCAAACTGCGGTCAACTACATGGGATTCCAGCAATGTAAGCATTATGCCATCTGCTGGTCCTACTCTACCAGTTTCAGAAGAGCAAGCTTTAATAGACAAAACTCCTTTAAAACTTGAAGTAAAAACTCGAGATAAATCTGGAATCTGAGGAAAAAGCAAGAAACTGAATAATGAAATGAGAGAATGAATATAAAGGGCAAGCCAAAAACCAAGCCGAAGGTGAGAAATGCAAACTTTGTAATTGCCTAGCCTCTTCATAGTATACAAATATAAAATACTTACATTTTTTTGACTAAAGGAGCAGTCTAGGTAAGTTCTCCCAGTTTCGACAAAGCCATAAAGACATATCTCAAAGTGGTATTTAAGTCAACTGTGATTTCTTTACTACAAGCGCATTTATCACTGACATATTCCAGAAACTGTTGAAAATACTTTACCTATATTAATCCATTTAACCCTCATAACTACTCTACGAGAGGTCTTATTAATTTTCCTTGTTTGATGGAGACATTGGGAATTTAAACTTAAGTGCTCTAAATCTATATAATCAGTGTGTTTAATCGCCATAATATATTGCCTCTTAAACTTTGAAGTTAAGAAAGTATCTAGGAAAAAAAAATTTTTTTTGAGAGGTTTTTCGCTATAGGGTGCATGCGCTCGCCAGACAGACAGAGAGAGACAGAGAGACAGAAAGCGAGAAATCACCCCCCAGGGGGGATGGTCACGCCGCAATCCCTTCTCCTCCATTCTCCTCTTGGGATCTTGGGCACGCACGCACACGCGCCTGGCGTGAGTTTTAAGCCATCGGGTCTGGGATGTGAACCGCGGTCGACTACGTGGGAGTCCAGCGACATAGCCATTACGCTAACTGCTGGTTCCCGCTAGGAAAATATTTCTAAGTTGCCTTCATAATATGTTGGTACGGAATCTTGGGGTAAATGTAGAATCTGCCAATCTTTTAAAGTTTATTTATTTATTTCTTCCATGGGTGAGAGAGATAGACCAACACAGGAAGACAAAAACAGCACCTCTAACCTCCAGGTTCATCTGACCTTGGATTATGGGCATACACATATCCAAAGTACTCGGAGTGGTCTCTGGGCTTGAACTGGGAACCTTCCCATGTGGTCAGCCTTGCAGAGTGTTGTATTTCACTACTGCGTCACTACTCGACCCCTGGAAACTGCCATTTTGAGTAAGCAACTTGCACCCTTTAAAGATTGAGAAGCACCAATCACTCTAGTGCTAAATGTTCAGTGTACTACTGAGAAGACCCTGAATTTCACTAGCTCGATGACCTCAAGGAAATACACAACTTCTCAAGAATCTCTCTTTCCTCATCCTTGAAATGAAGACCTCAGACTTCTTAGTAAGAAAGAGAAAACTTGCTTCACACTTGAGAAACTAGGAAAGAAAAATGTCATGGCATTTTGGGGGTTTTGTTTTTGTGTTTTATAATCCTATCAAAGCTGCTTGATGAAAAGCAGAACTCTCTTTGGTATCTCTCTTAATTGGCCTTTAACTGGCATTGCCAAGAAATGAAACATGTTACCTGCTATGTCTGCCAGTAATAGATACATTGCTTATTATTCTTGATTAGTTGTCTATGCGTGGGATGTCTGGGGATGGTTCTAAATGGTCCTGACATAGATTTAATCCCTTACAACTGATAAAGACTAAACTGTTTACTCTGGTGAAATAAACCATTGGTTGGTATGTAGCTAAGTCTGCATATGCAAACATCCTTATCCTTGATACATAAACCTCTTTTTTTTTAAAGGCTTCTTTGAGGTAGTACACTTTTTTCCCTTGCACCTTTCTTAAAAAGATTAAATACATGTGGGACTGGCAGGTGGTGTGGTGGTTAAGGGCAATGGACTCCCACATGGCCGACCACGATTCGCGTCCCGGACCTGGTGGCTTTCTCTCTCTCTTTCTCTCTCTCTCTTTCACTTTGTCTCTCTCTGGTCAAATTTAAATAAATAAATAAATAAATAAAGTTAAATAAAATAATTCTTTGGAAAAAAAGAGAGAGAGATTGAATACATATGTGACACTGCTAAAAACCATTTGTCCAAAAATTTCTGCTGATTGGCACCAGCAGTTAGTATAATAGCTATGTTGCTGGACTCCCACGTAGTCAACCATGCTTTGAGTCCTGGACCCCGTGGCTTAAACTCACGCCGGGAATGTGTGCGTGCGTGCCCAAGATACCGAGAGGAGAATGGAGGAGAAGGGATTGGGGTGTGGCCATCCCCCTTGGGGGCTGATTTCTCCCTTTCTGTCTTTCTGTGTCTCTCTTTTGGCAAGTGCACATGCCCTATAGCAAAAAAAAAAAAAAAAAAAAAAAAAAAAAAAACAAAAAAAAAAAA